CTTTTCAAGTTAAGTATTTAATGTAAAAAGTCATATGTCAAAGCCGTAAGTCAAAGAAAGCCCTTGTATGTTTGTACAGCGCCCACCACAGCAGGCTCTCGTTTCATAGCTGGATGCAGATCCGCGATGGGTTGTTAATCATCCCCCTCCCGACTTCTGCCAGGGGAGAACAGAGTATCCATTTATCAGGCACTCAGAAGCAAACCGGCAGCTGATCAAACATGCATTTTTGTAAGAGGACATCACCTTGGCATGCCTGGGATAACTGGAGACTGTCAGTCAAGGTGCTTTCAAAACACCTACTCAACAGCTCACCAAGCTCCTTCTGAACAAAAAGTGATAGGAAAAAACCTTCCTGTAGCTGAGCGCCATCAGACACATGCCAAAAATCTGACAAAACAGAGAGGCAGCCTGCTTATTAAAGGTAATTTAATGAAAAAGATACACATTAACATTGAATAAATCATTATACTTTGTCCAAACAGAAAAAGCAAAACTTTGGAGAATGATGCTTTAAACACTGTTGCTTTCTGTCCTGGTATTCACTGAGTTTTATAGGGATCTCATCAGTATGTAATTCTGTTTTCAGATGTTACTTTCAGCTTGCACTTTGCTAGACAACTTTACTAATTAGTAAGAAGGAAATCTCCGAGTTAATTTATTAAATTGAAAAGCACTGAACTCTGCTGTATCTCTCATCAACCACAAGTAGTATGGAACAAACCAGACCAACAAAGTGAAAAAAAAAAATTATCTTAATTATTGCAATATACCCTTACTAGGCAGGCGAAGGGATCCTAAAAAACTGTGTTAGGAAACTGATAATCTTAAGCCTCATACATTAATGCAATTCTTAACAGTTTCAAGGGTATAATCATCAATACCTCCTCTTATTGCAAATCATAGTTAAAAATGGAGGCTTCTACTGAATATTACAAAGAAAATGAGCTACACCTGCTGATGGTTATGATTCCTACTGAAGTTGCAAAGCTTTAAAAAAAAAAATTCAAATACTTGCCAACTGATGCTTTGCCTCAATTTTCATAGTTACCACAGAGGGGTAACTGTGAAGACTGAACTTCTTTTTTTGTTAATAATTTGGAAATCCTGACTTACAAAAGTGGTATGCATTGTAGTTCAAAGGGTTCAACACATGCAAACACCCACATGCTGACACCGCGGTTTATATTTCCGAGACAAAAATAAGCTCTTCAATAATAATTTACTTCCTTTTAAATCGCTCGTCTGCCTTAAACATTGTCCCAAACCTGTATACGTTTGCTCAACTGAAGCAAGCTCTCCATTGTCTATCTGTGAGAAGAGAGACCTCTGAGTGCAGGTCGCAGCTCTTTCCAAGAGCACAGCTTGTTGCAGCTGTTCCTACAGAACCACAGCAGCCCCCAAACCGCTCTGCACGAAAGCCCGGTGGCGGTGGGCAGCCCTCAGACAGGTCCCCATCCGACCGATCCTGCTCCCTCCCGCTGGGACGCGCTCGTGGGTGGATCTCCTCCTGCTTGGACGGAGGAAGAGATCTGCTCTGGAACCCACACACCTGCGGTCTGGAGGGTCATACAACCCGAACCAATGCAGTTATGGGTAAGTACGAGGCGTACGTAACCCTAAGTCTAACACAATTTAAATGCAGTTGTAAAACTAGTTCATTGCTTATTTTGGGCACAGCAGAGGAAAGGTGTTGGAAATGAAGCTGTCAGTCTGTGCAGAGGAGCTGTAGGAGACGGAAAGAGAAAAGGAAAAAGGCATAGAGATACAGATGAGAAGGGGAAAGCGGAGAGGGGGAAAAAAAGAAAAAGAAAAAAAAAAAACACAATAATCCAAAATGAGATTAGTCTTAAAAGAGTTGTGGACATTTTCCCACGCTGAAAAAGACAAGAAGCTACTGAGCAAACAGTCATCATTTATTTGATTGTCAGCTACGGGTCAAGACGAGCCGTATTCTTTTTCGCTAACCCTCCACTGGCAACCGGTGACAGAACTGCTGCTGAAAGAGGAAATCACGGATGCCCAAACGGGCACGCCTCTTCACAGCCCACGTGCACCACACCATTTGGCTCTCTCTGTGCAGAAAATTTCACATGCGAAGGTATCTTTATGTGCTGCTTTATACTGCAATTAACCCCAAGCAGTTGCTGAATATCACTTTTTGTGCACAAGCCAGATGTGAGCTCCATCCCTGTCATTCCAGCAGTCAACATTCATTTTTGCACTGTATTTTTTCTGAAGATGCAATGCAAGTATTTAGTGTACAACCACTAGCTTTCCTGATGGCTGTCATGGGGCATTTTCTATGGCTGAAGAAGACCACAGAGATCATTTAGTTACAACCATGCACATGGAAAGAGTTTCTCAGCCACAGACAATGGAGCAATGAAGCTGGCAAGAACAAATTCTAAATCATTATAAATTAACAAGAAAACTTAAGGAGTAAATATTTAGAAGAGCTCACTGAAGCCTTAGATGGATAGAAGCATCATGACCAATTATACCAGTGATCATTTAAACACAGAGTTAGGAAAGATTAGAAACAACAGAAAAATAAATCTCACCAATTACATGCATAAATGCAGATTAATGCCATATGAGTAGCTACCATATGAATATTCAATGCAATTATTAAAGCATTAATGAAATAGTCACAGACAATCTCATATTCATTTTTAGATAACCAGCTGCAGAAATGTAAATCTGCACATTTTTTTCTTTAACTTCATAATTCAGGAGTAAAAGGTGATTTGTTCAGAGTATAGAAAGTATTACTGAAGTTAAAGGGCAGGACAACTGATTAAGGAATTGGAAACAGCATTAGAAAATGAAATTCAGTGAGCAAACCCAGTATGTCCAAATGACAGAAAAAGTTCTTAAAGACAAACAAGCCAAAAAAAAAAAAAAAAAAAAAAAAAAAAAAAAAAAGAAAAGGAAATAAACATTGGGAAACTAAATAAACAATGGAATTGTTACTTCAGTGGAGAGAAATTTTTTTCATTTTCATTGTGTGCTCAGATTTAATTTTGCACCTAGGAAAGTACTGTCAGTTATTCATAACAGAATAACAAATTGTTTATAACATGTTGTAGACACACAAAGGAATTAATTCATTAATGCAAAAGGATTATTTAAGACCGTTTTCATGCTTACATAATTTCTCATCATTTGTTTCAAAAAGGAACTTCTACCGCGTCTTATTTGTTGTTATTCAGGACAGCAGAATTGCTGGAGGGCACAGCAAGAGCTGAAGAGCAGGCGATTAACACAAAAAGCAAAAACCACAGCAGTAACTGTAGCCAAAATCTCAGCCCTCTGAGTCTTCCTCTGATGGCAGAGAATGCAGATGGTGGCAGATAGAAATCCCCACTGCACAGGCTTCAGCCAATAAGCACACAGAATACAGGCGATACGGCAATTTGAAATTTCAACACAGGTAAGAGGTAAGCCTGCTCCGGAGAGTGGTTAGAAGCAGCTAGTGGAGAGAGATCCCCCTCCAACCTCTTACTTCCACTTGTTAATATTAAGAACAAATATTCCGGGAATTTGGATTACATCCATCACTGACATATAATTGCAGGTCACTGTACCGTGTCTCAGATATAAAATAAGGCTAATAAATTCTTATTTTGTAGAGCTTTTAGAGGGACTTGAGTAGCAAGTCTGTTTAAAACAACACTGATCTAGATCTGTAAAACAGTGATCTAGATTGAAAGAGGCACAACGCAGATGTGACTGTCATAATACACAGTTTTGCCTTTACATTCCCATACCAGATTATACGTCTATTTTCTTAGCCGAAAGGAAGTAAGACGGACACCTTTGCCATTCAACAGTGCAGATGTAGGGTATTTTTGAAACATTGGCTATTTCGAAATTACCCTAAGTCATGAAATGTTGCGCTGTACCGTACCGTTTTCTTTTGAAAGTATCCACGATGTGGGTATTGTGAATTGCCATATTCACATACGCAGCTGACTAACTTCACCGCATACGGAGCACTTTGTTCATTCTAGCTTTCATATGGATTTTTAAATGAACAGATAGCTAATTCAAAGATGAACATTATACCATTTTCAACCCATTCTCCCCTTGCCTCCCGCTCCTGCAGTACAGCTTGAAGGCCTTCGCAATTAATCCAGAGATCTGCTGCTGTTCTACTTGATTAATGTGATCACGGGCTGTATTGTCAACAAGGAAAACTGTATCAATAGCTTGCAGCTAACCAGGGAGGATACCGGGGACCATCTTGCTAACTAAAGACCACACAGTAGCCCAAAAGATCTTTATCCTAGAAACGAAATATCTCAAGCTCCTCAAACTGGCAGGCTCCTGGGGTGAAGGGGAAGCAGTTTCTAACAACCAGCCTCCTTGGGTGACAAGTGCCTTTTCATGCAACATTTAAAGCGACGAGGATTTCCTGCGCAGCTGTCACGGTGTCCTTAGAGACACCGTTTTCAGGCACCCTGCAATCGTCCCTCCGCTTCCTCTTAATTCTAGTCAACAGCAGCCACAGGCAGATTACATAGCTGGGACTTTACTGACATGACTAGGAGCCTGTAATAGCACTCATAAGCCGAGTGACATTTTTTTTCTGTTGTCAGTATCATGTATAAATATGAAACAGTTAAGAATCTGGCACTTTTCTCTAAAAATCCACTGATGATTAAAAAGTATCTCCACATTTTGCTAATCAAATTAAAACAACATAATCTTATACAGCACTGGACTAATTTTAGACCTAAATACTGATGAGATCTGTGGTTATTCCTGTTACCGGTCAGTGGCCATGATCTCCATGGCATTCATAATGCTTTACTGTTCGCTAACTTAGGCAACTTGTCCTCTTGTGAAATGTACTGAAACACTGGATAAAAGACAGATGTTGCAAAATATCTCATGAACTATTAAAGAGAACTAAAGAGAAGGCCATTGGCCAGAAATGTTAAGTCTTATTCCTTTTAGAAAAACAACGCATTTAAGACTCATGGTCTACAAACCTGGCCATCTGCTTATAAGCTTCTTCAGCCACTGCAAAGATATGTGGATCCATATCCCCCATATTTTGGCCACTGTATGCATTGATGATATCTTCGCCATAGATAGGCAGTTGTTCGTAAGGATTTATGGCCACTAAGACAATACCTACAAACGAAATGAAACAAAAGGAATTATTCATAGTTGTTTCAAAATAAAACAAACCAAAAAGTGGCTTTAACACCAACTATTGTTCTAATCTTTCTAAAAATATTAACTAGAGAACAATAAGGATCTGATATTACTGACTTCAACAGATATTTATTCTGACCATAGTTTTGCATAAAAAAGTGTCAGAAGAGTTTACTTCTACCCTGCTTTAGGAAACAAATCAGGGACAACCTTTTACTTTTTCTCTCTATCTGCCTTTTCTAAAGCTAGCATGCACGAGACAACCAGATTCAGAGTGTGCCGACTTGAAATACAGCCTGCTCAGTGCAGTAAACCAATGAATGTGCATTGTACTTCCCTGTGTTTTACTGTGAATTACAAATGATAACATGATTTGTGAATTACAACTACTACATGCCCTCACTGACTGTCAGGTTGGATATGTGAAGTGTGTTAACCCTTCAGCCATGATGCTGTGCCCAGGAATAACATCTTCAGTTTTTGTAACAAGCAGCAAAGCAGAGTCATGGTGTAATCTGGATTCCAGGACATCTCTACCAGTCAGGCAGGACAACCTCCTGCTCAAAGGGATCAAAAATAAACACATGTAGACATATTTCACAGGGCTCATACACAGCGGTACACAGTCATGTCAGGACATTAAGTAATTACAGCTCTAGAAGGCACCATAAACCCCTCATCTTATACATCTCTGTGTATAACTACTTACACTTTCCATTTTCTCGTTTTTCCATCCCAGTTAAACACATATCTGCCTTTTTTAATACCACTCATTACTACAACATTTCTAAACTCATGCCATCCTTCTACTCTCCCCGCACAGGAAAACTTTTACTCTGTACATTCTTCCTAGCCACAAAGTGAGATCTCAAATGCTTTTGGTACAATTTTCTTTTTCATGAGAAACAAGAATTGCTCTGCCCACAGGGATGTTTTGACAAAGATTACTTATACCTTTCTCTCCTGCAGCATTTACAATGGGTAGGGAACACTTATTTGCTCCGTGCAGGGGTGAAAACACTGATCGCTGCCACATGGGACCCAGCCGTGTCAGCCAAACTGTGCTACTGTGCTGTGGCCATTTTAAAAATAGAATTTCTTCTTACATATGTATTTCGGTGCCTAAAAGGAACAATGCAGGTGCAGATGGCTGCACAGTGACTATAGCAAGCATGCTACACGTGATCCTTGGACAAACCATCCCTGAAGAACCTGCACCAGAAGCATTTCCATAGCACTCAACTTGCTTCTAAATTTACTCAGAAATTCACATGCGCACACACACACTTCCCCAATGCAGATCCCAGCCCTCTGTGCAGATTACAGTGTTGTGATGTCTATCTAAGAAATTTTCCATGGAAAAGCTGGGAGAAGTGAAAGCATCTATAGTCTGGCGCTGCTGCTGGGAGCATCATCCCATTTTTAAATCCTGTCCTGCATTTATAGATCAAGCACAAACCACAGCAAAAACATTAAACACCAATAGAATATCTTTCACGAAGAGATCTGAGACACCTCAGTCTATTTCCTCGAATATATGGCAAGTTTTATGGCTAAAAAAACCCATGCCGGTAGAGTCCGTGTTTTTCCACCAGCCATGACTTCACTGAAATGACTCAGGAGCTCGAGTGAAAAGTCTCTATAAAAATTTATGCCAAGTTCTAACGCTGTAGTGATGAGCCAAAAAAATAAGAGGGGGGTTAGGGAGGGGAAGGGACCTCAGTACTAGCAGACTTGAGGAATATTTTCGGTGTCGGTTTTTAACATCTGCCCTTTGTAACTCTGAAAAAGCACTAAAAAGTTAAGTAAGACCGCGCCGCCGAGCTGAGCCTCCCAGGCTTGCAAGTCTAATCAGAGACATTAAAAAAAAGCTGTGCGAGGCTCCTGCTTTTGGCTACGTTGGCAAAAATAAACCCTTCAATTCAAAACAAGCAGCCCCGTGGCAAGTCTCCAGCATACTAAATCATTTAACTTCAGTAGTGATCTGTAAAATCAACAAGCAACCACCATCTGGAAATAGCCAAAACAAGTGAGTTAGGAATTACATGCTTTGTATGGAACTGTTAAATCAGCCTGTCTCACAGGACTATAATCCAGATTAATTTATATATAACTTCTCTTGATCTCCACTAAATCATACTGCTGTTTTAAGAAACATCATGGGCCTTCCCAAATCAGATTTACATGTGTTTTTGTTCCTACAATTACACTAAATTAAACTCTGGCTACTCTTTTTGCCATTCTTCTTAGCTAATTCTTTTATCTTGAATGTATTCACCCATCTGTGGACAAATGGGATATGAATATAAATAATTTATTAATTTAAATTAAAGTTTGCTCTCCTGCATAGCAAGCAGTACTTTATACATCTGAACTAACCAGCAGTATTCACTGAGTTTTCATCACAGCCATAGCAGTTTTTCCATGTAAGCATTCAAATTTTTCTTTGCAACTTTTTGACTTCCTTCATTTATTCTTCATGTCATATTCCCAACAGTAAAGCAAAATTATAAATCACCTCTGACTTGCTGGTGAAAGGCTGACTTGAAATTAAGACATCAGGAGGGTTTCTGTTTAAAAGTTCGGATTACTTCAAAGTGAAATTTTAAAAAATTTAATATCCATTTGACATCTTACACTAAGGACAGCATGGTTGAATTAATTTCTAGTGCCGTGGACATCCATCTGTCCCAGTTCTAGTTCTGCTGTTTGAGAAGAATGTTACCATAATTCTCTTGGTGGATTAAAGCGATTTTAATCTCCTTCGGGCTAAATCAACTGGGTTAGTTCAAATCACCTTCACAGGGTATTTAAACTAACTTGGCTAACGTGTGAATCAGATTAAGGAGGCAAATACAGTTCCTTCTGCAGGCAGAGCTCTAAGGCAATAATCTTTGCAGAGGGGAGGTAACTTGTACTCAGCACGGGAACTGATAGAGCGGTTTGAAAGGTGAACATTCATGGCCAAAAGATCAGGTTTTCAAAGGCCAACACGCCAACTTTATTTTCCTTAGCTTATAACATAACGTACATATGCCTACATGCCAAGCTAATAAATCCACAGCATACTGCATTCCTCAGGTCACCGGTTAGCGTTAAACCTCCTTCACCTGCACTTTAACCACCGGGAACCCCCACGCCACTGGATCCACATGTTTCTAATAAACCCACACGCAGTTCCCAGAGTCATCACTTGAGACTTGGTTAGAAGCAAAACAGCAGACCAAGCTCCGCCATCCCAGGCCCTTTGGCAGACCCATTCCATGACGAGCTAAAGGCCTTCCAGCCCTATGAGAAAGTATGAAACCAGCCAAACCCACAACTAAAGCGCCACTAGGGAAAACATGAAACCAATGTGTTTTCACAACATGTTTTCCCAAACACAGCAAAACAAAACTGGCATACAGCACATGCCTCTTGAAAGCCTCTTAAATGATGCTAAACACAGAGCATGTTTGCAAGCAGCCGAAACACAAACCGGGCAGGCTGTCTTATGGGAGGGGTATGGTGGTACAGTAGGCACGGGACCATGAAACTCTGACTGAAAACCCCTTACAAGCTCAGGCCGTGAGACTCCAGTTGCACAAAAGCCCTTTCACAAAACATTCCCCCATCAAGTGCTTTGCCGTGGGGGCACTAGGGACAGAAACACAGACAATGCCTAATCTGGGGGAGCTGAGGTGGTTTCCCAGTGCCAGGACCAGAACATGCACCCTCAGCAGGGGCTGCCCGGAGGGGCTGTGGTATCTCCATCACTGGAGACACTCAAATACTCAGATACTTTGACTGGTCCAAGCCCTGAGCAGCCTGATCTAGTCAGACCTGTTTTAAGTGGGGAGCTCCACCGAAGACTTCCAGAGGTCCCTTCCTACCTAAATGATTCTGTACCTCTAGTCATGCTCTGACTGCATGATGGGATGAGACGTGGGTATGAATCATCTCCCCCTCCTACGTGAATGAAGGCTGGCTGCAAGCAGAGGGAGGCAAGGTCTGATTCAGTCCCCCATGGTCTGGCCACTGCTGAGAGCAGGACTGGGAGCAGATGCACTCTGCTGTGCATCCGCAGATTAGGAATAGCCAGAGTGAGCAAAATGTGGCAGGACATTAATGCCTGCAGTCTGCCCATCACAACATGTTTAATGTGCTGGTTGCCTTAGCTCTCCATACCCATCACCATGGGTGGAGCTGTACTGCGACCAGAGGAGGGAAAATCTGACCCTTGGCGTACTCCATATGCAGACCAGGACAGGACAAGGCCTTCAGCTGCAAAACACAAATTCCTGCTTCAGACACCTGCAGTCATGATGAGCTGGTGCTGTCAAGGGCCACCTTGCCACATCACTCCCCTACTCTATAGTTTGCGAAGTAGCACAAAGTACAATGAAACTATAAACAGCAAGTCTAATATACGATAACATCAAGAAGGCTCAATATACGCTGGCATGGGATAGCCAGAACTGGGACTGCCCTACAAAAGTCTCATTAGAGACAAAGTTAAATTGCATATTTAAAAAGAAATCACGGGGCATGTTTTCTGCTGGCATAAACTGAGCTACAATGAATATGCAAATGATAATTTGACTACACCTACTGGAAGAATGTGTCTTTGCCTTAATCAGACAATTATGAGAAGGAAATTTTCAGTATCTGGTTTCTAGCAATCACATCATCATGTTACGTTTTGTTTTACTCAGCTTAAAATGTAAAAAAATCCACCAATGATTTAAATTGTTTCTTATGCACTAACACAATATCCAAAGTACATATTTGAAAAATTAACAAAGTTTTTTTATATTGAAAAGTTATATTAAAAGTGAGCAATGTATTTTGACTAAACACTGAGATCTAAAAGAAACATATACAGAAAAAAGCCCAGAAGCATGAAATCTAAATTTTAAGCCTAAACTATCTCACAATGTTTCTTCAAAATAGACCACTTGGCTGCAATTTTGAACCTATGATGAAGGGATCATTAAAGGAACTTCCCCCATTCTGGCCATCTGAAAATATCACAGGCATTTACAACTTTGGGTAACCTCTACTGTGAGTTCAATGGTATTTTTAAAACTAAGATTGTTCATAACTGTGAATGGACAAGCATTGGCTCATGCACTGTTACAAATTCAGTCCTGTAGTGGCACTGATTGGAAAACATGAAAAAGGAAATGAACTGGTATCTCCTGTACAGAGCTAGAGGAGCTCAATGCAGAGGTAGGCAGTAAATCCACCAAACGGCACGGGTAGCCTCCTGCATCTGCACCGTGTGAAGCTCTCCTCCAGCCCGTGCCTATCCAAGCAAGCCTAAGGGGAACACCAACCAGCCAGGAATCCCATTGGCAAGCTAAAATGGCTGAATACACATTTTATAGAGTCAGTTGGGAAGCTAGAGGGATACAAAGCAAAGCCGATTTTCTCTGAACCTTAATACTTCCAAGTCTATTTGATGCACTTAATGACCACAAACACAGTGACTTTGATAAGAACAGCCCAACATGTCCTATCGTTAGGAGCATGCATATCAATAATCAACTTTCCTTTTCCTGTCTACAGCATTCTCTGTAAAGATTATGGTATGAAAAGACAGTACTTGCCACAATAGGTATAGATTAGTTTAGAGTCTATAAATCGAACTTTGAGGTTGTGTAAAACAGCAGGCTCATGGAGATAACTGAGTGCTGTGAGGTCATTTTCACCAACAAGTATGTCAGGGTTTCGCAAGGGTGGGAGCTCCTTGGTCTTCGGATCTAGGCAATATTCTAGGTCCTGAAAATCAAATGGAAACATATGCTGAAAGAGTTGGTGCTTAGGTTTCCTCATTCAGTCTCTCCAACCATTCTTCCCAGCAAAACATGCCCAAGTTACAAAAACACAATGCAAGATTTAATTATCTGGTGATTTGAGGGAGCAGTTCTTTCTCCAAAAACATCGTTTAGCATTTCCCAAAAGGGTTTTCTATATGCAACAGGCAACCATAAAGTGACATCACCTTTTTAAACTATTACTTAAGCAAACCCCTTTCTTTTGCTACCAAATCTTTTTATTAAATAAAACAAAATATATTATCTCATAAATCTAACTAGTTTTTCATATTCTTTCCCTCTTGAGCAGAACAGACAGAGGAAGCGCATCCCCATCAGTCTATAGCCAGCTTCATACACAGTAATATGACACAAGAACGTTGGCAGAATGCCATGAAGAACACATAAACTGAAAAAAATACTACTTGCAATTTTTGCAAATATAAATTAGTCTCTAAGGTAGATGTTTTAATTGCAGCTGTCTCTAGATCTAAAATGACTTTATTTACCTGCTACTTTCTTATCCCCACATAACGTGACTTAATTGGCAAACACCCCCATTCTGCTACACGCAATACTCAAGTGTGCAGCATCACCACGCAGCCTGGAATATGGCAGGGGGGTGGGTGGGTGGAATTAATCTTGTCACATTAAAAAGGTTGTACTCAGCTTGCTGTATAAGAAATGTGAGTGAGTCAAAGACTGAAATGCATGCAAGTAAAATATTTTATTTAGAAGCTATTCTATATATATAATCTGTTCTTTTTAATTCATGGCTATGTAGGTCTCTACATGAAAGTAGGATCTAACCTGGCCACTAGTGAGAAGAAAAGAAACTAAAAATAAATATTTGATCAACTGCAGTAGATCTTTATTTTCCATGAGAAGATCTTAGGGATCACCACCATTATATATTAAAATTAAATAACCATTTAAGTAGCATGAAAAAAACGAACAGGCCTTCACTAGAAGGATGTGAGGTTTTCATAGACATGTCATCATTTCTCTACACCGTATACAGCATCGTTTTCATAATGCTCTTAATCCTTGCCCCTTTTTATCTTTATTAATCTTTTGATGGTTATGCTCAACTTAAAAGTCATGGTTTTTTCTCTGCAACACTGTTCTCCTAGCAACACTGTTCTCACTGGAATATCAAACCAGGGTTATATATTTAACAGCATAACTAGAAAAAGATGATGCAACTGAACGTAACAGGCAGCTGGATAAAAGCAACACACGTTTTGGGTTGGTTAGTTTTTTTTTTAAATCGGGCAAAATGGATTTTCGTAAATAAACAGTATAATTTGTCACACAAAAAAATACTACTTGAAGTTGGTGGACAAGAATAATTATACATATATAAATACAGATATATTTTGACAATACAGCTTCCTGTGTTAGATACATCAGTCTCCAGTCAAGGGCAAGAACGATCAGCTTATGAACAATATGTAGACCTACCTTGCCTTCTTCAAGTCGAAGCTGGAGGACTTTATCTCCAGGTTTATAATCTTTGAGAAGTTCTGCTGACTTCCAGACCTCCTCTGGATCAGGGATCCAAACCCTGGCATACTGCAATACAAAAACAACAGCAAAAGATCAGTGACTTTTTGTTGCAATATAGTTAAATCATCAATATATGTGACACCAAAACCTTTTTTTTTCTTTTTTTAAATACATGTTTAAAACACAGCCAAACCCTTAAGCAAGAGGCAAGTTACTAAGTACATCTGAGGTGAATAAGTTTTTCTAGCAATTGATAAAAGGCTACACAAGCTTAATTTTATTGCCTACACGGAAAGAAAAGGGCATTTTCCATGCAAAATGATGTTACAAGGTACACATTCGATGCTGAAAATCTACAAAGAAAAAAAAATTGTGTTTTCAGAGAGATCAAAAACTTGGCTATCAAAAAATTACTTGGAGAAACTCTTCTGAGCAGATTCTAAATGCATTTGCAACATAACGTTATACAGCTTTTTTTTTTCCCCTAAGAGAACACATTGGCACATCTGTGTTAATTCAGGCAAAACTACCAGATCTCAAGTATTAAAAGCTCTTTCCTTTGTAGTTGCAAATAGGCCAAGTTTAAAATGGATTACCTCCAGAATGCCAAAAGAAAAAATCTGAAAAGATTTGGTTGAAAAAGCCTCCAAATAATAGGAAAAAAAACCAAAACCAGCATTCCAGTTAATGACCATTTTCACCCAAAGTTTATTCATAAAAGTAACCCAGAACAAACATATGACTTGTTTTCAAAAACATAAAGAATATTCATATTTTTAAATGAGTGAAGATATAATGGTTACCTCATATTCAAGAATCAATTAAAGGTATATGGAAACCATCTAGTTATTTATACAGTTGCATGTACATGCCAACATGTACATATGAAAACAGCTCTTGAGTAACACAAGGAAAAGCTATGACATTTTTAATATATTAAAGCTTCTGAACTGATGCTCTTGCAATGCCTAGAGAGCACTGAGATCATCCCACACCCATCACCTCTGCAAACAAAACAGCTTCTTGGCTTTAGAGGTGCAGCCATGTTGCAAAACATTCTCAATCCACTGAATTATTTCAAAATAACTGTGATGCATTTGTCAAAGCATGGCATTTGATGGCAGAGAAAACTGCATTTGGTCATACAGCTTCATCACCTAATCTGACGCAACTTATTTTTGTATAGATCTTCTGCCTCACAACAATGTTGAAGCTTTTTTTTTCCCCCTTATTAACCCAGCTTTCCCACTACTTAAAATGACAAACTTCTTGTTTCTACTAGGGATTTTTTGAAAGACCAAACTTCATGTTGCCACCTTGCTGCAAGACAGGAACCAATACAACGTGTTCGGCACCGACGGCGCGGTGGGGAGCGAGGCGCCAGGAGCCCAGCCCCTGGCCCCGCAGAGGGACAGGCCCCCTGCCTCGCCGCAGGCTGCCAGGGAGGCTCAGTGCCTGGGAGTATTTCCAACTTCCCAAAGCAATTTGCTTCCCATACCCAGGATGCTTCTCAAGAACCATGCACGTGAGTAATATACAACAGCCTAAATCAATGGCTTTTACCCTTAACACACTGCAGCCTCTAAAGCACTGCTGCTGCCTTCATCTAGAAAGCTCCCAAACTCCTGAAAAGCTTATGCCATACATGTAAAGCAACTCTCTCTACCAAGTGAAAGGAGAAAAATAATGAAATAAAGAATTAAAAATTCACTTTCATTGTACCCACTACAGAATACGTTATGCTCCCACAGCTGGTCTTTCTTCATCTTCACTGGATGTTTATGCCAGCCCCAAGAATCTGCTTTATACAAAGACAAGAAGCTTTGTTCTTTGTAGTAAATACGTGGTGGTTTTTTTTTTTTTAATTTGAGCTTTATTAGTTTCATATATATTTGCTATTGTTTTCAGTACAAAAGTGCAGTATTACTTTATTATTTACATACCCTCTTCCCCACTCCCCCAAAAGATATGAATATTAATGAATTATTTGAAAAATGAAAGATCCCCAAAACAATTCTTCAGCAAGCGCTCTTGCCATTCACAGAGCACTGTCTATAGCAGCAATGGAGGGCAACAAAAAGGAGCAGCTGGGACATTAGCAGCCGAAGCCATGGTTTGGGCGCTTGGATTATTTGTTTGTTTTCAGCCCTGCTGTATCCACAACTCGCAGGTGAAGAAACCTCATCTGAATTAAAATGAAGGTGTGTGCTAACAAGTGTATGCGCCAATGCAAGTGCAAACCTACAGAAACTACAGAATAATTCCAAAATAATTAACCAGGACACGACAACAGAGGTGCGGTATTGCAGTCAAGTAGTGTGCTCAGGAGCAATGTCTTCTTTCCTTTCCACTTGGTTTTTAAACAAAGGATCCCCTGTAAAACTTCACAAACACACATATATCCAAACTTACCCCAATGCACCTGTTAACAGAACGCTCTTTTATTTAAAAAAACAAAACAAAACAAAACAAAAAAACTAAAAATCAAAACCCTGCCAGAAAGCGGGGAAGTTTTTTGGTTAAACGCAAAGATGCCACAGTGTCAGACACAGCTGCAGGCTGAACGCGTACCGCGCTTTGCCCAGGTTTCCTCCCCACTTACAGCAGCAGCTCCCCATCCTCAATATTTCTGATGGGATATTGCTTCCCTCTCATCACAGGAATTAACAGAAAGCAAAGTAAATGTATATGAAAGAGGAAAGCATTTAAATACTGTCAAGCAAAACAGGTTAGCAGGCTGGTCTCCTCCGGGCTACACAAAGAAAAGTTTACTGATGTAAAACAGGCAGCAGCCTTGTAAGACGCAAATACTGTTAACTTCAGGCAGAAAATGCTGCGTAGCAGTTTGTAACTATGTGATCTATGCCCACATGAAATAGGTACCTTTAATTTATTCAGCTAAAACTGTACATTTTCTAAGATCACCATAGAAACTGGGTTACTACAGACAGCTGAACCTTCCACATGACATAACCCTACAGAAGATATTAAAGTCATCCTATGAGCACTAAGCTGTAGCTTTTCATCTCTAGCATCATTGCCTAGCCTTAAATCCCTGCCAAAGAAAACACCTGGTAAAAAGAACAGGTGGGAGGAAAGAGAGAGATGTTCCTAATTATAAGCATTGAATCATTGCACAACATTCTCACCTCATTAATTTAGCAGAATGATTTGCAAAATCAGATTTTCATTCTATCTTTTATATAATCAGTTGATGTTAAAACCCCATTGCTGCCTAGCCTTTAGTGGGATCCAACCCTACAGCAGAAAACTAAGCATCACCGCTGGTAGAAACAGGACCAAGGGCCCCTCTCTTGGGAAACACCTCACTCTAGTATGCCTACTATTCATCCCTCTTTCTGTATTTACCAGTACATAAAATCAAGCTTATGACTACATTAAAATAAGATTAAAATACGATAAACTTCTAGAGACACTGATTTACAAATCAGCCTTCTAAAAAGGGAAGGAAATTCTAGCCTAAAAATGCACTGAAATGACAATAAAAATTACGGCAAGAAACAAATGAACTTTACTGAAATTGCGCCTGATTATGATCAAGGAATATATAACTCTTTGCAATAGTTCAGTGTAAATTTTGAACCACCAGAATAAAACTCCTGATAGGGGAGATAACCGTATGATTTACTTAAGGAAAGGCAGTGAATGCAATTTTAGGTAAATATTGTTACCCTTTGTGATAACCCAGGCGTACCGATAGCGTCACTTGCACTTTACATTTTAGTATTGATTTGGCTCTAGCAAGCTTAGCTTTGCTATCCAGGTAGTAACGCTGTGCTTTCTCTGCGGGTGTGTTTCTGGCTCACCACTGATGACTTCTTCCTATCCTCATCAGAGACGTAGGACTGGAGGAGGCATGAGGAGGACACGCGGCCCGTCCTCCCACCCACGCCGAAGCCCCACCATCGTGCTGGCACTGTGGGCTGCCCCCAGCAGCCAGCTATCTCCAGCCGAGCATTCACAGGACCATCACTTACTCTAAACTAGTTTAAAGAAAATCAGAATGAAATGTAAGGCACACAGATGAGATACCCTTGGATTCAGAAGGAAAACAAATCATTAAATGTGCATTGACAGGACTATTTCAAAACTCAGTTTCTTGCCTAGACTCTCTTCCAGCCTCGGCAGACTGACGTAAAAACCCCACCACCTCCAAAATCCCATGGAAGCGTGGAGTCGCCATACTTTGTTCAAGGAAGGACAAGCTGGGCTGCTGAAAGGCAATGGCTTAGTGATCTCTGTGTGGTGATTCTAAAAGAGTTCACAGCAGAAGAAAATACAAGGAAAAGTTTTCTTTTTTCACTGGCAGGTCAGAAAGCTAGCTGTATTATCACGATTTTGTATAATGAGAAAATATAATAGGAAATCGCAGTATTCTCTCATACTCATGATTTCATCTTAGATCACATGAAGAAATCAGCAGACTATAATAATTATCTATCAAATGAGACCATATGACTCACAAAGCCTCTCTTCCGAGATATTAACCTCTTGAAGTACTAATTGACATTGCTGACAGAACGGAATGAGCAATGCAAGCAGCTCAGCAGTCGCTTCAGCAGCCAAACAGTTTTCCACTTCCATTGCACAATGACAAATACTGCAGGAGACAGAGCTATCTTCCCAGCCTAACAGCTCTTCTGGTAAGAGCTGAAAGAGTTCATGAAATGATCTACATCCTAAAAAGAAAAGGGGAAAAAACCTCATAAAAAGCTGTCCCTAGTTTCTCAGCAAGGTCTACCCATACAAGTGAACTTGCATGATTTTCACTTCAGCAGAGATCACCTATCTATTTACTTACAGACGGCCTCAAAAACCACAGACTTTCAGGTGTGAACCATGAAAAACTTATGAGAGACCCTGCCCCTCTCTTTCAAGGACGACCTCCTTTTTAGGTAGGAATAAAGCAGCTCATTAATGTCTGGATCAAAGAGGTACCATCAATTCTGGCCGCACTAGCTGAAGGAGCCGATGGAACAGCAACACATGGTGAAAGTCAAAGCTAAATTTGTCCAAAAGCATTCCATGTGAACCTGTTGTTAACTGAACGCGGCCACCTGGAGAGAGCAGGCTGCATTATTAGGCTAGAAAAAGAAAAGTGTCAACATTAGCGAGGCATAACTACAAAACAGAGCACAAAGTTGTAAAAGTTCACACTGCAAAGTGTTGAACTTATCTGTGCAAAATGTTAACTTCTTAGAAAAGGATTTCCTGAGCTGTGTGATTCCCTTGCATGAGGTTGCTCTGAAAACATGATTTGATGCTATTAGAATAATTTCCTTTCAGCTTTATATTTTCCCTTATACTTGGTTCACGGTGCCACCACCATGGATGATAATACTGGGCCTAGAAACACTCGAAACAGAAAAGCTGACCTTTTATATTAAAAACATAAGCAGATGCATGGCTGGGTGAGTGTCCTGGTTTCAGCTGGGATAGAGTTAATTTTCTTCCTAGTAGCTGGTATAGTGCTGTGTTTTGGAGTAACAGGTCGAACACAAGTCTTAACTTGACCAAGCTGGATCCCCTAAAAAGAGATCCTGATGACTCACACACAAGGCAGAAAGAGGTCCCTTTCTTTCACTGCTGAAACCACCACAATTTCTGCCATCTGCCCTGCGATACGCAAGCAGTCTATTAACAAAGCGATGCTGCTGGTTGCAGTTTGAAGAGAAAGACAAGACTTCACTCTCCTTTCATAAAAATGCCAACTAACCAGGAGGGACTGGAAAGCAGAGCATTTCCACGACAAGCAGGCTGTTGCAAAACCTCGGACCGACTCATCGAAATTCTTCCTACGACGTGAGGGAAATGGCATCATTAACTTTGCAAAAGAATCAAAACAGAAATTATTGATTTTCTTAAAGGCAGTAGCATTCTTTGGGCATGGAGCGTATCTTCTGTCTTGTTGCTCAGCAACAGCCATTTATATACCTCTTGTACAGTTTAAGGCCTGATATTTAGAAAGTATAAATTTAAAAAGATATTTATATCATGATATATAGTGGGGAAAATATATGTGACGATTTGTATTAATGTTTTATCTGAAAAATAATCTCACATAGCTAGTTTACCTAATAGGAAGATCAAAAGTCCCATGTTATCACATAAATCTCTGACTCGTGGGAATTCCCTGACCGGCCACATGCGGAGCTCCCAGACGGCGGCCAGGGGCCAGCGGTGACCCAGGCTCTGAGCTACCCCCCAAGACACCACCACTACAAGCACAAGGAAACTACTTGAATCACAGCTCAAGGAAAAAGAATCTGTTGTACTCCAGTATTTCATCTACTGTATAAATATTCACTACCTTTGAATCCTAAGGATATAAAAGTTTGAGGGTTGTTTTTTTTTCTTTCTTTTAAGCAATTTTATACGGCGTCCTGTGTATTTAGGGCCTGGTGACTTGTAACGCCAAAACCAACTTGTACATTGCTTGCCAAACACCCCTTGATTGTACAAGGTACAATCAAAAACTATCAGCGTCCCACGAAGAATCACTGCAGCAAGATTTACATCTTCAGCCACTGGGAAAATGTCCGTTGACTTACATTTACCTGAAACTTCACCTTACTTCAAAGTGATGCAAAAAAAGCTAAATCCCAAACACAGGATATATAGACATGCTACTACAGGCAAATCTGATCAGCAAACAGAAATGTAATTTTTTTTATTTCTTTAAATATTACAATTATTTGCAACCTTTCCACTGAAATTCAGAGAAAATGATCACCCTGCAAATCTACACACTGGGCCTGACATCACGGCCAGAAAACCCAGTGTTTTACTTTAAACTACCAAACCTATCACAGAACAGTTATATTCCCAGGTTGTAGTTGGTATGATTTTTGTAAGAAAGATTTTTAAGGAGTTAAAACACACAAACTGTTTAAAAGTTGCAAATTTTGTTCATCTTTAAAAACATAGCTTTCTACATTTTATGTTGATTGTACTTGACCTTCTCCTCAAAATGTTGTACAGAGGGAGACAGATCTGGTTTATACTCAGTCATTATTAACCCAGACAATACCTTAGCTATCAAAACGTTGCCTATTCACCCCCCTAAGCTGCTGCACACAGGAACGGCATTTGTCAGCTCCTGCTGTATTTCACAGGCCGACCCCCTTCACGCAGGCCCTCCTCCATCCTCCCCAAGCAGCCATCCTCCGCCAGTGGCCACGGTTACAGTCTGGTAGCCGGTGACTTACCCAGCCTGTGACGCCAGCAGCACCCGCCGCTGAAACCACCGGGCAGCGATGGGAGGTCACATGCAACACCGCTTGGGTACATCATGGGTTTGCCCACATGATGCTTCTAACAGGGCTTACTTAAGGCTGTATTACCAATTACAGAAAAACAAAACGCGTTTCCCAGAGTGCCCCACAGAGACTGGGACAGACGCCGGCCTGGCTACTGTGTTAAAAGGAAAGTGCAGCTACATCCTTCCCTACGTCCCCACCGCTACCACGAGCCTGCGTGGGACGGCAAGGAGCGATGCCCCTGCGCCTGCGGCTCCCCACCTGCCTACGGGATTCCTCACACAGCACCAGTCACCAGCAAGCCTACAGCCCAATACCCCACAGGAACAACCCGGGGACACCGCGGGACTGCTATCCTACTTGCTGCAGTATGCTATTCTCATTTAATTCAGCACATTTCTCAAGAAACGTTCATTTAATCAAGCTTAAAAAATACATTCAAAGAAAAATCAATGTTTAAGAAAATTTTGTGTTTGAAACAGTTTTGATTTCTAGACCTGTCAAAGGAAAGAACGCGGCTCTGAAAGATCTTCAAAAAAGATGGCAGCTACAGCTCGATCAAAACAAACAGTGTTTTGGTCACTACTCGAGACACAAAACAGCTGAATAACCACAATAAGATCGGCGAAAACATTGAGCAGAAGCGCGACGCCTGCCCCAGGCTGAGTGACAGGAAAATACTCTGACTCATGTAAAAACTTCATTTGGGGTCATACCCACACAGAGGGGCGTACGCTGTACTGCATTTCGATCCCTACCACCAAAATGAAGGCCAATACTGAATTATATGCTAGTGATTTCAAAAAGAAGTTAATTATAAGTCTGCCTCAAAACACCTAATTCATCCAACCTGAAAAACATGTTACAAGAGTTGTAGAAGAGTGGCCACAAGAAATTTAAGGGCAAATGAAAAAACTACAGCCATCCCCTGAATATGAAGCTAATGAGACATGTTGCGTTGAAAAAAATGAGGAAAAGGATGTATGATTTCATGTTTGTGTGCTTACAGTAGATGGTGTGGGTATCTTGCAAAAATACTCCAATTCATAAATTAAAAAAGCCAATACTTAAGGAATACACAAAAAAAACATTCAACACATCACGATTAACATCACGGGTGCCTGAATGTAAGATCCAAGAAAACTATGAGGCCAAATGAGACAAGCGGTTGTAGGATTTCGTTTTAACATGAAGATGATGCAAGTGATGATACAGACTTCACAGTATAATTAACCAAATGCTGAAATAAGTATTCTTTCCAGACCACTGGCACAAATTCAGTCAAGACCCTCATGTTTCCTATATATTTTGCCACGCTGATGTCATACAATGAAACGTCGATTCCATTTCCTCAAGTTCTTAAATGGATCTAAGATCTTCCAGAAGCTTTTAATAATTACTTCCCCCAAAGTTTCGAGGAACCTCCCCCACAGGAGGCAGGATAGCTGAACGGCTTCTCACGACACGCCGCGCAGCCCCCGTTTGGCTGGGGGACGGAGGGGGCTCAGAGCGCTGGCTGCAGCTGGTTGCCCTCCGGGGTTCGTACAGGCAGGACGAGGAAGCGTTGTCTTTTGTCTCGGCGCCTCTGCTTCAGCGCAGAGCCCTCTGCATCACGGCCATGAGATTATTTAGTGTATCCAGCACTCGCTTAGGCAGGAAGGGAAAATAAAGGGCGGTATTGATCAGGCAGATGCACTGCGCCGTGCCGTGCTACAGCGCTGGAGTTTGAAACAAGCAGTTATTGAGAAAAAAGTAGTGGAGCCATAATTGATCACCTAGCTCACAGAAGTGAAATAAGGCTAAATTTTCTGGTATCTGTAAAACACGTGGAGGATGGACAATTGCTGATTTAACCGTGAAAGCTTAATTTAAAAGCTAAAAATGAAAGGAAAGATATTTGGCATAAACCTTGATAGAAGATAAGGCTGTACTTTTCTAAGCATCTTTCTGTAAAGTTGAGCATAAGTCCAAACAGCATTCTTTTGGTTTTGCTTAATCCTAGCCCCCCTGAAAAAGTCACGCTGAAATTAGAACGCCTGCTTGAGGTTCTAAAAATCCAAAATTAACAGATTATTTTCTGTTAGAATGACACCGAAGCCCCAGGCTGAGACATAGTTACATCATTAAAACAGAGCTTTTACGGACTTAGCGTGAGTTATTCAGGGAAAACTAGTTTCACTCAGCTAACCCAGAACATAATTCTGTCATTATGGTCAAGTCCACACCACAGACACCTTTCTGCCAGATCATAACAGCAACCTGACAACAGTGAAGCACACCTAGTGAAGCTACATTTAGTCCCACCATTTTTTCATGGGAAATTAACAGCAGGTCCCCATGCAAGGAAACCAGAAACCGTACGAATGACCTGCCAAGCTCTAACATAAAACCAGCGAGCAGAATTAAACCTCCCAAAGAGCCTCCACAAGTGTCGGGGGAAGCTGTGAAAGCAGAAGTAGGGTTAACGGCCACAGCGCTGCTCTCAGAAACTCTCCGGCAAGGGCGGCTGCCCTTCTTCCCCTGCGATCTTCAGCCCTGCCCTAGTAAATCCCACAAGGGAAGAGCACGCGCAGGAGCCGGTGGGTGCAGCAGGGCTGCGCTGGCTGCGAGCACCGCTGGGACCCCAGTGCTGCCTGGTCCAGCCCACTTTCATTCGTGCAATTCTAACTTTGATTAGCCCGAGAAATTATGGAAAGCACCTCTGTGTCGGAGAGGGGAGTGAAATTAAAACCTCTCACACTAGTAGGAAATTGTATACCATATTTAGCCTTAGAGAAACTATTCCACTCCTTTTCTCTACAAGTGTTATCTGTTTGATTGTTTGCAAAAAATTTATATTGCCTTTGTATTTCCAATACATAAGATTGTCGGACGAAGTGCAATCTGACATCAAATTCGAACAACTTCTGCAAATGCTTCTCGTCATATAAGGTTTTTCTAAGAGAGACAATGTCCTAAACAATGAAATTATTGCGCGGCCTGTTTGAAAAAGTCTTCTTTATATATCTCCAGATCATAAGTCAAAACTCTACTTACTTTAAACCTTTATTAATAAACTATTATACTAATAAGCTATTACATGCTTGGCTGTACAGCCTTCATCTATGTTAAAATCAAGAAAGAAAAAAAAAATTCTACTTACTTTAACATACATATAGCCTAAACCATCTATTTCCATCCCGTATCTCTCGTAACACAGATTTTCAGCACTTTCAGAGGCAGTTGGTGTTTCCTTTCCAGGCAAAATAGGCTCAATCTCCATGGAACATATTTCCGTATTTCTTGTATTGGTGTACACTAACTCATAAGGCAATTTGGGAATCTTTCTCTCTGGTTTGCTCAGCAAAACAACTGAGGTCATCTGCTTTAAAGATACTTATGAATAACCCATGGATTCTGCAGAGAGTAACGTGTGACAAGCCATGTTGGGGCAATGAATTCCCGCATTGTCAGACTGGCTCGTAGTATTTTTAGTTTATTTCTCTGGCTCTACAAAGAGCAAGAGTGTCCTCCTGTAAATCACAAAGCAATCGCAAAATTCTCGTCCTGGCGATAACCAAATGGAAGAACTCAAAGACACCATTGGTAACTGCAGCAAGACTTAATGATTTTTCATATCCATTTACAAAAAGAGAGACCATATGGGTATGAAAGTCACTCAGATGAGAAGTCTCTGTTCTTCTATATTTAGGACTGTCAAGCTAGAAACGCGCAGTTTACATCTAACCACACGGCAATCTTAGCAAACTTGACACGACAAGTCACACGTCCTATTTCCCTCCTATGTTAACTACTATAAAGACAGAATGAGAGGTCTTCAAAGCAACACTGCTTTAGCCTTTACATTTAATTTTCAAGTGAGGGCTCTCATCAGACCACAGTGTAAATAAGTAGCCTGGAAGAGTCTGCTCTCCACCATCCCCACTGTCTCCTAAGAGCTAAATAAACTCAAGAAGCCATTTCTGCTAATTACCAGTGGCAGCTTTTACTCTATGTGAATTACCCTGACAGCCTTACCTACAGCCACACCTGAAGCGGGGTTAAAAGGCAAAAATGAAGACTTGATGAGCAATGAGGGAAACGCAACAGCTTTCAAGATGTTCAGAAACCAACCACAACTTTCACCCAACAGCATGGAGGTAACAGACTCGAAGACGACCCTGCAGGCACAGCTGCAGTCTGCACTCCTGGCTGCTTCTCCTCCAGTTTCATCTTCATACTGCTCCCGCAGACCGTTCATCGCCGTCGTGACTTCTCATTCATACTTGCTTATTTGATGTTAGGTTTGTACCTTCTTCTCCCTTAACATTTTAAGAAGCTTTACCCCAGCCTTGAGTACCTCCATACCATTATTATTCAGGGAAAGGTCTGTGACAATTCTTGCTATTGTCCCCAATTAACAGGCCAAAGAAATTAAATCCATGCCACTAAGGAGAACAGATTGTGTAAAGACACCAGATCTCTGCTTTTGTAAGTAATCCATTTTCATCTGCTTCAGAATTTGCATTAAAATTCGTAGATATGTTAAAAGTTGCGTCAATATCTGCAATCCACAGACATTCAGTAGGAGTGAAGTCTTTAAACTTTATTAGTAGTGCCTGATGTTTCCTGTGCTTACCTTCCAGCTGCTTAATGCCCAGAAATCAGCAAGAAGGGCACTCCTCTAATGTAATCGCACCCAGTACTTACCCTCTTTTTAAAAACAAACAAAAAAACCACAAACCTTTTAGCCTGCACTGGTCTCTTCTTTACATTTTATTTGTACATAAATAGACTAAGATACATAGAACTAAAGCTACTAAATACTGCGATTAACTGAGAGCAGGCAGCAAAGCAGCTATGTTGTGACAGAAAAGGCGCGAGTTATGACCCAGATGGCCAGGAACAGGAAGACCCCAAAATCATCAAGATCATCAGCTCGATAACTCTGTTGCTTTTCACATTTGCACAGTGCTGGGCAGTTCAGGTTATCCATCTCACACAGTATTTCACGTTAGGCTGCTGCCTGTAGCAACCCGAGAAAGTGGGCTATGCTAAAAGCAGATGAGTGGAACCATTATCTCCCTGAGATGGTGGGGGTCCTGAAAGCAGAAGCTACCGGTGAAAATACACTCTTGCTATTAAATATTAAAATTGGGTCTTAAGGAGACAGGTCCTAACTTACTACAACACTGCATACACAGAGTGTAACACAAAGAACTTGACAAGATGACATCCCTACGGTATGTTTTCATTTGTTTTCCTGCACAAATTATTCTGAGCAGGTATATGACAGCAGAGTTTTTTCCCTTCAGTAAGAGGAAATGGAGAATAAAAGGCCTAATCTTCCAGATTTACAGGCTTGATTTCAAAGCATAAAATTAAGCAATGCGACTACTCACACGGAATAAAGATAAATCTCTGCAGGATCAGGCTTAAGCAAACCCAGGGTTAAGCAAAGCTAAGCAACATGGAGAAGGAGGAGGAAATGATGCAGTCCCAAGCGATGGGCAGCACAGAGCGTGGCACTGGCACAGGCATGAAAGTGCTGCTCTCTGCCAGGAAAGTCACTAAAAGCCTTGCTATTAGCGTTGGTAAATGAGGCCTTAGCAACCCAATCATACAACTCTCCATCCTGGATGCAGCTCAAAAGTAAAGTCAACAAAAGGAAAAAGTTACTGTACAAAGAGCCTTTGAATTCAACACAGTTTGAATTTTCTCTGTCTCCCATGACC